CCATAAGTAGAAATTGTAATATCTAGAAAGTTCTAGAAGACTTTGTCGTGAAGGAGAAGCAGTAGATTGGGTTAATAGTATTTCTTGAGTTTGCATGTTTTTCATTTAATGTAGAGATTAAATTCTTAAAGGAAAACAGGACTCAAGGTATAGCAGGAGACACATGTTCTATATATGCTAGATTTTAGTACAAGCGTTGTAAAGTCAACTCTCCAGTTAATAGGATTTGGTTTTATTCCTGGGGACGAGGGAGGAACTATTGTGTAGATGTCATTAATCTCATTTTTCTCTGCTTAGGTGGGGTTCACTGTAATTCCTGACAGCACTGCTGGCTGTGTTCTGGGTGTTATCTGCAGGCTCCTGGATCATACGTGTGTACTTAGTGAGAATCTGCTGCCGTTTCTGGCTTCATGTTGCTACAGTCTTCTGTATTTTCTGCTCACTTTAGAGAAAGGAGAAGCAGAACATCTAAGAAAGAGGTAATAGTTTTTGTATTCTTCAGTTTTTTTTCCCTACCTGTTAACGCTCCCTCCCCATCAATTGATCATTTTTAAAAAATTAAGAGTGAAAGAAAATTAGATTTTAGAAATCTTTTAAATTCTGTCAGAGTTTGTATAAACCTAGCTAGATTTCTCTTCTTTGTCATTGAATTTATTGGGGTGACATTGATTTATAAACTTAGGTTTCAGGTGCACAGCTCTATAATACGTCATCTGTATGTTGTACTGTGTGTTCACCACCTCTAGTCGAAACTCCTTCCATCATCAAAGCTGCTGCTTCTTTTCATGAATCCCCTTTGTGCTGTAAGAATTTTTAATTTTTTCTTTAAGCAACAAATATGAAAAGTTAGGTGGCATTCTAAAGGTTTTTGAGAGCTTTCCTTATTAATATTGCTTTATGTTTAGTAAGAAAAAAAAATCTACCTTGAGAAGGATGCAAGTGTTTGTATTTTGTTTTGGGCTTCATTAGAATTATCCAGAGTAGAATTTTAAATTATTGGACTTAAGAGTTCTAAGGTGCTACTGTTTTAATTACTCAGTACTTTTGTTCGTATATGAAATTCATACTGGATCTTCTGGGATAGCTTGGAACATTTCAGTTTTATTTTTAAAAAGTGTTCTCATGCTTATGTTCTTATTGGTTATGCCTATAAAATTTATTGCCGGAGGTTTTTTAAAAAAAAATCTAACAGATGAGCAAATAGAAGAAAATAAAAATTGTTCTCTCACCTGTTAGTACCCAGGACTCTTGTATTTTTCTTGGCTTGACAGTTTTCTGTAGTTGTGGTGTCTAAAGGTGGAATTTTAAGTTTACTTATCTATTCAATAGACTTATATTTGGTATTATGTAGAATCCATAAGCCCTTTCAGCACAGTGTTGGATAGTGAAGAAAATGAATATATTGGAACATTTCAGAAGTAACTAATAAAACTCAAGAGCTAGGAATTGTGGAAGTCGGGATCTGAAACCCAGCAGGAACCAAAGGGGCTTTCTCCGTCCTTTTTCTTATAGAGCGTGTGGTCTTTAAAATCTCGGCCTTTGCCTCATTATTAGCTCTATCAACAGACTGGCTTTCTCTTTTTTCCTTGCATGTGAATACCCTAGACTGCTGTGCATGAATCAGAAGTTGAATGAAGTTCCCCAGCCCCCTCCCCTTGGTAACCATCAGTCTGTTTTCTGTGACTATGAGTCATTTCTATTTTGTTCTTTATTTTTTTAGAGTCCACATTTAAGTGAAATCATATGGTATTTGTCTTTATTTCATTTAGCATAATATTCTCTAGGTTAGTCTATGCTGTCACAAATGTAAGGATTTCATTCTTTTTTATGGCCAAGTGATACTCCATTTTATATATGTACCACAATTTTTTTTTAATCCTCATCCGAGAACATATTTCATTGCTTTCAGAGAGAGAGAGGGACAGATAGCCAGACACCGATTGTTTGCTTGCCCTACACGTCCCAACCAGGGATTGTACAGGCAACCTAGGTGTATGCTCTGACAGGGAATCAAACCCACAACCTTTTGGTGTATGGGAAACATTCCAGCCAACTGAGCTACACTGGCCAGGACTGTACCACAACTTTTTAATCCACTTGTCTATTGATGGACACTTGGGTTGCTTCCATATCTTGGCTGTTGTAAATAACACTGCAGTGAACATAGGGGTGCCCATATAGTTTTTTGAGTTAGTGTTTTGGATTTCCTCAGATACATACCCAGAAGTGAAATCACTGGAACATAAGGCATTTCCATTTTTAATTTTTTGAGGACCCTTTATACGGTTTTTGGCAGGAGCTGCGACCAGCCTGCATTTCCACCAACAGTGCGCACGGGTTCCCTTTTCTCCACATTGTCACCAACACTTGTTTGTTGATTTGGTGATGATGGCCATTCTGACAGGTGTGAGGTGCTGTCTCATTGTGGTTTTAATTTGCATTTCTCTGATGATTAGTGACATTGAGCATCTTTTCATATTGGGTTGGCCAAAAAGTTTTAGTTTTTTCTGTATGATGGCTGTAGTAGTGCTTAGTTGTCTTTAACTTCATTCAAAACAATTTGTTAAATTGTGACAGCTGTCGTTGTCAGTGTGCATTAAACTTACCAAATTGGTGAATTTTTGTGTAGCCAGCCATTTTAACATTGATGATGGAAGAATATGCACAACATTTTTGGCATATTATGCTTTATTATTTCAAGAAAGGTAAAAATGCACCTGAAATGCAAAAAGAAAAAATGCAGTGTTTGGAGAAGGTGCTGTGACTGATCAAACATGTCAAAAGTTGTTTGCGAAGTTTCTTGGTACTGTTGACATTTTGCCAAACACTTCTTTGCTGAGGGGCTATCTTAGCATTGGAAGATGTTTAGCAGCACCCCTGGCCTCTACCCACTAGAAGCCAATAGCGGGAGATTACCGACATACTCAAAATTTACAAATCAATAAAGTTATTGGTAAAAATTAAGAGTCTAGTATTTTATGGAAAAAGAAACATACGGACTTTTTGGCCAGCCAGTATTTTATTGACCAACTTTATGTCCTCTTTGGAGACGTGTCTATTCAGATCTGTTTTTTTAACCAGGTGTTGAGTTGTATGAGTAGTTTATAGATTTTGGGTATTAACCCCTTATCTGCTATAACATTGGTGAATATCAATTACCATTCAGTAAGTTGTCTTTTCATTTTGTTGATGGTTTCCTTTGCTGTGCAAAAATTTTTAGTTTGATGTAGTCCTACTTATTTTGTTTCCCTCGCCTGAGGATATACATCAGAAAAAAAAAATACTGCTAAGAGAAATGTAAGATTTTTACTGCCTGTGTTTTCTTGTAGGAGCTTTATGGTTTCGAGTCTTATATTTAAGTCTTTAATCCATTTTCAGTTTATTCTTGTATGGTGTAAGGAGAAAACACCTTGTTTCTTAAAAGGACGCTTTCAGTTTTGGGAAATACAGGAAGGGCACTTTTCCTGTATGTGTTGGCTCGCTGACTCGTTTTTGTCGCTGTTATTGTAGGGACAAGCTGTGGGGGGTCTGTGTCTCCATCCTGGCTCTCCTGCCTCGAGTCCTCAGGTTGATGCTGCAGAGCCTGCGGGTGAACAGAGCTGCTCCTGAGGAGCTACCTGTGGTGGGCCAGCTACTCCGCCTGCTGCTTCAGCACGCGCCCCTGCGGACTCACATGCTGACCAATGCCATCTTGGTGCAGCAGATCATCAAGAATATCACGGTAAGAAGCACAGAACAAGGGTTTTGTACTTGTGAGTACCAGAAAGGATTCGAGGGCAAGGCATGGGCGGGTTCCTGTGCGTTGACCAAACTCCTAGAATGAAGCCCAGTGTGGTGATTTCCCAGGGTTTCTCCTGTAGTCTGGTCCCTGACTGTCACTTCACCTGGGGGTATCTCTTGGATCCCAGAATCAGTTCTAAAAGCCTTAGAACACTCAAGTTGATTAAGGTGGCAGGCAACTTAGTTGGAAAAGGTATAGGCATCGGAGTCACTGCTACCTGGACGCTGAGACTATTAATTAACTTTAGTGATAGTTAGGCAAGTTTTTGTTTTTGTTTTTTAAACCTTATCCAAGCTTGTTTTCTTAGGTATAGAATTGGGACTAATAGTAACTTTGTTGGTTTTTGGTGACCATTAATGAGATCAGCCAAGTGAAGTTTTTAGTATAGCTGGTATTTATTAATTGCTCAACAAATGTTAGCTGTCATTAGGAAATTATTTAGCAGTAATAAACTCAAGGCCAATTTCTAGGTAGTTCCCTGGAGAGTAAGAAGTCGGAGAAAGGAAGTTGTAGGCTTCAGCTTTGTCTGATGGTTGGTTCTCTAAGTGTTCGGTTGTGCTTTTTGGCGGTGGGGGGAGGCAGTTCTATCTTTGGTGTTTTTATTTTGAAAGAATTCGGTTTTTTGTATAGATATGTGGGGGGTTATTAAATAGTATATGTAATAGTAATTCAGAAATAGAACAGTCAAGAATTTATATTACTCTGAGGTTGGACAATCAACCTATCATCTCCATAAGGAAGAGAATGACAGAAGTTGTCAGTTGACCCTGTACAAAGATGGAGGGACTCTAGAATGCCAGAGGGAGAGAGTTGGGAGTGTAGGGCTGGTGGGTGGTGATACTGCATTAGCCCCTAGCATACGTGGGAGGGAACAGGACTAAACCGGAAGCCGTCATCCCTTGTACTTGGGGGTTTAACCAGGAATTTTCACTGCCTGTAGTAATTCCAGTAAGCTTTCCTGTGGTGATTTACAGATGGGGATACTGTTGCAATGGCTCTGAGATGTTTGGATGTGAAAAACACTTCAGGTAGCATAGCAGTTGTAGAATTCTCAAATTCCTTTTGTTTTTCCCTGCAGACATTGAAGAGTGGAGGTGTTCAGGAGCAGTGGCTCACGGACTTACATTATTGCTTTAATGTGTACATTACTGGGCATCCTCAGGGGCCCAGCGTGTTGAATGCAGTATATTAAAGAGGCACCATGGCACTTCCTGTTTAAAATTGTTTATTCACATCTAATTTTGAAGAGAGACTGATGTAATAAATGTCATTAAAGCTGAACTTTTAAAAAAGTTGTTTATGAACCTTCCTTTGCACTAAGATAGGAAAATAAAGCAGGCTGGCTTCCTGGACTGGCGTGATATGTGGTAGTGTATTTTACATTTCATAGGAACTAAATATTTACAAAACACGGAGTGATAACATGGCACTACTGTATACCAAAAAATTAGCTAAATCTTTTGTGATCCCCTCAAGGCAAATCTCATTCATTCTGTTCTTAGCTCCAGGTCATTCAGGTAGCAGCAGGAACCAGTCTTTTGTTTTGTTTGGGAGTGGTTACCCTTAACCCACGGTGACAATGAGCTTCTTGCTATTGTTATTTACAGAGGTTTTGTAGCCCAACACAGGGGCAAGACTTCAAGACAGAGCTACAGTTTTGGATTTTCCTGTATGTAGATGGTGGCTGGTCTGATTGAGATAACTACTTTCAAAAGTGATTTTCTAACCCATTGTGGTTCTTAAAAAATTATCAGCTATATTTAGTGATTTCTATGATACATTCATTTTCCTAATCATGAAATAATTTAACTAGCAGACTGAAAAATCAAGGGGATTAAGTTAACACTATAATGCTTCCTATCTCTTACTGTCAAGACAAGGGTGACAGTAATCCTAAGAAATGGAAGCAGCCCTGGAGGTATTTGTGAGCCTACTACGTCACTGTCTATGCCTGTCTATATATTCCATACATTAGCTTTGTCCTTAAAAATGTGCAAAAGCCTGTAAGCCCTTAAACTCCCAATCACTAGATTTCATTTAAACTAGGTAATAGAGAGCTAGAATGTGTAGTTAGCATTTTCCCCTGTTAATAGGAATGGCATTTTGAGTTCTACAGGTCAGGCAGAAAATACAAGTAGAATGTTAAGGCCTGAATTGATACATTGTGCGTAAATGGTCTGGTCTTTGCACCTACCCGACTGATGTCCATGGTATCATGTGATACCAGTATTGCTGTTCACAGAGGAGGTGGCAGCAGCTGTGGCCTTCAGAGGCTAACATGAACTGTAAAATGTAAGGAATCAACAGAGATGAACAGAGTGCTATTGTGGTCTTACAGATAATTTGTAAAAGTACAGGCTGGATCACGATTCTGGTCTAAAACTTAAAATGTTGGAATAATAGGATGTGGTGTCTGTAATGAAGTTTGTTGCTTTAGATTCAGGAAAAAGTGAAATGAAGGTAGCCACTGTAGGACAGGTTCCTCCCCATCTCATTTAGGTTCTTCACCAAAGCCAAAAAACCAGGCCTGCGCCAGCTGGCTGGCAGAAACCCCAACCCAGCAGCCCTCATGTTGTTAGTTTTACTGAGGTTATAAATTCTCCTTTCTAGCCACACTGACGGAGGTGAAGGCAGGCATCTAGGCAGTTCTGCATAGGCATAGTCTGCCCTGGTCTTTCTAGCACAAGTTAAGATAATTTCCAAACAATGCAGTATAGAGCAGAAAGAAAGCGTTCTGACATTTTCTTTCAGTTGTTACCACATTTTCAGTCCAATAAGGCTTCAGGCATGGATATTAAAGTTGACCCAAGATAGAAAAGATAATCAGCAGAGAATCAGAACTCTACTAGCTATGCCAGTTACCCCGGACACAGACTTCCTCCACAGTCAGCCGAGGCTTTGTTTTGGTTTTTGATTGAGTAGCTGATTGCAGGTTGTAAGAAAAATTCTTTGCTCTTCCACTGTTCTCAAGGAGGTGTATACACTGCAAGTTGCTCACTGTTAAAAACAAAACCAAGTGGATATTCAGGTTATTTTAATGCTGAAGGTAAGAGTTTACTGGTGATAAGGAAAAAGGGATTAATTTTGGACTATACATGGCACTAAAGGAGCTGGCAGAGACAGGATGATTTATCAGTCATACATTTTCCATCATCTCAATGACATGACATCTCTCAAGAAAGAAACTTGAGTGGGAGGGGCGGGTACAAACCTAGGCCTTCAGTTGGCTTGGAATAATCGGTGTATCTTTCTGCATCTCTCCCAATACAACAATACAAACATCTATACACATACATGTCTTTTACCTCCATGTACCCTATAGTCCATTCTGGAAAACAGGTTCAAAAAAACATGATAGGCTTATCAAACTTGAAATGGATTTTTTAGTTCTCTCTATGACTTTGAAATTATAAAATTATAGGACACCACAGTTGCAAAAATGAGTGGTGTGCCCAAGCCTCTCACTTAATGAGTGAGGATACTGAGGCCCCACACAGGTAAGAGACCTTCCCAAGGCCATCGGGTGCTAACTTTCTGTGGAACGCAGACACAAACGTGAGAGGTGAGTAGTTTTAAAAAGTTACGTATATATTACTTTTCCCCCCCTGGTTTTAATGCTGTTACTTCAATAAAATTATTTTAAAGTGAACTACTGCTTTGTAACTGGCATGTTTGTTGGCTGCCTTTGCTGTTTCGAGTCTCCAGTTTTCATCTGCGTACCCTGCTGTAGGCGGTGCTGTAGGTGGGTGGGAATACTCTGTGTTAGTACAAGGGCGTACCGTTACTAGTAATCACTTAAGCCATGGGTAGTCTAGTCATCGGAATGGATTTTTTTTAAAGGGAGTTCTTTCATTTTTAAAGAGCTGGATCCCCCAATTCAGGAGAGCCTGTTTATGTACACACACAGGTCATCTCCATGCTCCTTGTCTTTGGGGGCGATTAGCAGGGATTGTTCAGTTCTCTCCCGAATGATACGAGTAGAGGAACGGCCTGTGGGTGCCATTCACGTTCCCCATACCCAGCTCACTTCCTGCTCCTTCATAAGAGGTAAAGGCATTAATACAGCCACTCCCCATGGAGCAACAGTCTGCACTCAAATATTTGGATACCTACAGTGTGCCAAACTTCTAAAGCTGAACAAAGAACAACAGCAAAATCAGAAGATCCCTAATGCTATGGAATTCCCAAAGCAAAATAACATTTTCAGTTGAAGTTTGAAGACCAAACTTAATGATTTCTTTTTGGTGCAACCTGACATCTGTGATTCCACATTGCCGAAACGTACACGCATATGTATGTTCAAGTTAGGTTCATATGGAGATCGTTCATAGACATGTTTTCCTTATGAAACACAGGCTTCAGCTAAACTGCAGCTCGCAGCTCTGACCATCCACCATACTTGCTGGTTAATGGTTAAGGGGGATGGGTGAACTGAATAAAACCTGTGTTGCCCCAAGTTGAGGCTCAGGAAAATATCCTCTCCAGTCCTTGTCCATTTCTAAGCCATTGTGCATTATATGTGTAAAGCAAGCGAGTTGTCTGCTCATGTGAAGTCCTAAGAAACCGTTAGGCATTTCTTTGAATTTTTTTATTCTGTTCTGTAACTGAGTGCTTTCAAAACCTTTTATGCTCATAAATACCTTCATTTTTAAAGATTGCTGGTAGTACTGCATTTTTCTCTTGAGACAAGGTTTAAAAGTTCTCTGATTAATAATATTTATCTAAATGCTACTTCTTTGGTAGTTACATCTGACAGTTCTTTTTTTGAAAGTATTCTTAATTCACTCAAATTAAGTGTAACGAGTTTTTGGGTTTTTCTTTTTTAACAGAACTATGGGCCTTAATTCCTTTGAAAATTTCCAACTACCCCAACCACCATTCCCTGATCAACCTGCCTATACTACGTGAGTTGCCTGACTTATTAAAGATTTGGCAGTAATTACTCTCCCCCTGCCTCCAAGTTCCCCCCCCATCAAAAACTAAATGAATGTTAAAGTTCATGCTGACAGTCACTGTTCACCTTCCCAGCTGCACTCTGATCCTGCAGGATGACTGCATCAGGGAGGGGGCGCGTGTTGTCACAGCCACCCACGAGGAACACTGGACCTGGCATTAACTGCTGACAGCACTGAACTTATCACCCAAGTTTAATGCTGGTGTGAATGAAGGGGCCCTCAGTAAAACACCTTTGTTTTGCAGCTGAAAAGAAAGTTCCCTGAGCTGCTGCTGCCTGAGTGAAACTACACAGTTGAGCCTGAGCTGGATATGCTATTAAATACTAACATTTTCCTTGTGAGGCCCTAAAAGGCAAAAGCCAGACTTTGTGGTTAAGAGCCTTTCAGTCTTTAGGAAGGAGGTGGGGAATCTTAACGTGAAACCAAACTGCAACAAGAACTCCCAAGGTATGCCTTTGAAGAATAACAGTATTTTCACTTCCCCATTCCTCTGTGAACAAGTAAGTAAAGGTGATCAATAGCAGTTACCATTTATTGTTTCTGCGCAGGTAATTTTAATAATAGCTTTGATTACAAAAAATAACTTGCCTTTTATGGAGACAGATATTGACTGCAGTAATAATTCCATGAAAGGGGCATGAAAAACAAGTCTATACTTGAAATCAAACGACCACTGGAAACCCCTGACAATTAGTCTTGTTTTGGAGGACAAAAGAGCAAAGGAAAGTGCTTCCCACGCTGTCTTCCCCGTATACATTGCCAGTGCAACGGCTCCTTACCTGAGTTGAGACGCAGCACTGCCTGGGCTTTTGAAGATCTTGTGGAATGATGGACTTTTCCTTCTTGAGAACCACCTGAAATCAACCAACAATGATCATCTCTCTCTGACCAGTCGCAGCTGTGGCCTGACCAAAGGCTTGAATTAAAGGCTTGAGCTTGCAAGTGCCAGCCAAGATAAATGAGCTAGGGTGTGGAAATGCCATGTAGGCCCAGGGCAAGTTCTGAGATTTTGTTGCCTGGGCCACAGGTAAGCAGGCTCGAGATGCCTTGGCTCAACCTTTTTTTCTGTTGGAGAGCTAGTCAGGCTTGTTCTCTGCTGAGTTTATTTTGATGGGCTCTTTCCCAAGCTGAAAATGGTTTAATTTGCAGCAGTTCACCTGCTAAACAAGTGCTTACTGTAGTGCCTGGATCTAGGACCTTCAACAGATAGGCAACCCCGTGAAACCCCGGCAAAGGGAAGGTCCAAGTGAGGCAGGTAGGCTGGCTTATGCTTAGAGGCCTCCAAATTGGTAACGTACGGGGAAGACCAAGTAGGGGCGTGACGAGGCTGCAGCGATGGTGAGTCTGTCGGTATGAAGCCCAGCAGAAAGTCTCCTGGCTAGAAGGCTCTCTGGGTTGAGAGGCCAGATTGCCTCATCTCAAACCAATTATGATCCAGAATTTCTGGAGGGGAGGCACTGGTGTAGTGCTGAGATTCTCCTGATGACTGGACGTGTAATATAAACTTCCCACCTGAATGGAGGCTTGCCCAGCACAATTCAATCCCATTTCAGATTCTGATGTGACTCGTTGGGGGTGCCTGTCAACTACAGAGTGCCTAGAAGGACAGTTACCGTAGATCTGCTTGAGCACTGAGTGCCTGGTGGACTTCATGCCCGAGCTGCTCTTGGACAGATTCTTGGTGGTCCTGCTTGCTGTGATGGTCTTTGGGGGTTTTAGATCTGGTTCCTTCCTCCAAACCTGGAGGAGCAGTGCCATGCACTCTCGGTTCCATCTGTCCATATCTCTGGCTCCACGCTGCTTCATGTGCAGAAGGTGGGACAGGTGCTTCCTGAGCTGGTAGCTGGTGGGATCAGAGAAGGGGAGAGGCTTTAAGATCACAGTAATGAGGAAACAAAATTTCCTTAAGGTTCCTAAGAACCATAGGAATAGGATGTGTTGAACTTGGGAGACTCATTCAGGCTCCCACCCCCACTGTCAGTGGCAGTACGCTGAACGTTGAATTCGGTGTTTCTCCATCCAGCAGTTCCTGAATCAGGAATCAATAAAATGAGTCCTTACCCTCAAGATGGGACAGGCCAATGTGCAAACAAATACACTATAAGAAGTACTGAGCAAGGAGCTAGATGGCAACAGACCGATGTGGGACTGATAATTTGTGGTGGTTTGATAAGACTTCACAAGGCTGAAGTTTGTGCTGGTCTTTAAAGGCTGAGTAGGGGCTCAGCAGTCAGAGGAGGACATTCCAGGCAGAACTGGCATGAGCAGAGAGGTGTGGGAATTTGTACAGAAAGCAGTAATGAGATGTATATGAAGCACGTGTATTTGCGGAGGGAAGGGGGTTGGAAGGCTGGGCCACACTGGAAGATGCTGGCATTTGATCAGGACCCGTTGTATACCAGGCACTTTCCCTGTGATTAAGCCTGAAATTAAATCTGTGAGGCAGATGTTGAGAGTCCGATAAAGGCTGAGTTGTGGTGATGTCACCAAAATGGTGACAGGTCATTCCCGACTTCACTCTCCCTCACCAAAAGACTAATAACTGTTCACGGGCCAGACACCACTGAGAAAATCCTAGAAAACAGGATTTCTAGGATCTAGAGGCTGAAGAACCCCCTGCACCACAGAGACCAAGACTGATGCCATTAAAGGGGTAAGGGGAGTGTCTACGTGATGACAGATGGCCCACCCCCCCAGGGCAGCGCAGCACCTCGCTCAGACGTCTACCTTGAGCCTGCAGCTCCTCCAATAGGAAAAGAGAACCCAGAGCGTGATCCCGCTCCCCAGCATGGCGGGTTGATCTTGGGAGCCCCCACTCCAGTCTTGCCCAGTGGGGATTGCACCGGGAACCTGACTGTGACCGAAGGGGGGGGGGGGGCTTGCAACAACCAGCATGTAGCTCTTTCTGGACTGAGTTCCCACCTACAGCATCCAAGTAGTAGTCCCAGCCAATGGCGCTGCTCACCTGCAGAACCAGGATAGTGGCACAGTCTGATCAGGGACTTCAGCAGCATGCAGGCCTATCTGATTTGAGTCCTTAAAAAAAGAGTCTAGCGGGCCTTGGAGCTTAGTCTGTCCTCGCCCAGGCAGTTACAGCATAACTCACTGCTGATCACAGCCCCCGACCCCTGCCTGGCCAGGCCACCTGGAAGGCGCATAGCCCAGCGACACTCGGGCAGGGAGTATGGCAGACCAAACTGATCATCTGCACAGCAAGGCCAACAGCGCCATTTGGCCAGGGAACTTGGGGAGCAGGTTGGCTTGAATCAAGACCACAAAGAGCCCTGTTGCCCTTGGAGATCAGTTCTCTCACTCTGCCTGGGCAGGGAAAGTAATTTATAGCCCCAGCCATTGCTGAATACAGCCAAACCACAGCATAGCGGGACCTGCATGGCCCATCCAACAGCCCTTCCTACAGTGGTCCTTGAACAAAGAGCACAGCCTGTGGTTTTGTCTGCAGAGCAAAACGGGTGGCTTCATCTGGCCAGGTTTGTTCAGTGCAGCCTTGCCTGATTTGAGTACCCCAATGCTGAGCTCTGCAGGCCCTGGTGCCTGTCTGGCTTCCTGCCAGGGCAGGAAAACTAATTCATAGCCCTGCCTACAGCTAAGAATAGTACCCAGTCTCAACTGTCTATAAGCTGGATCAGGAAACCCATGCAACTGCAGGGCAAATCCTACAGCCTTGATTGGACCGGGAACCAAGCCCGTGTTTGTCCTTAGCCAGTGGTACCCCACCCCCACCCTCAGAACTTGGGCAGTGGCCCTGTCCAAAAAGAGACATCAAGCCTCACCTGCCCAGGAACTTCACCAGTAGACAGGTCCAGGAACCCAACTAAGCTAACTGGTAAAGAACTGTCTCTGCCAAAGCAAATCTGCAGGAGGAAACTGCTCACTCAAATGTGTCGATACCAACTTAGAGAATCAAGAATCTCAAAAGTCAGGTAAGCAGGATACCATCAAAAGAAACTAAAAAAGCTCTGATAGCTGACCTTAAATCGAGATTATGAACTGTCAGAAGAAAATTCAGAATAACCCTCTTAAAGTTTAGTGAACCACAAAGAACACAGGCAACTAAACAAAATGAAGAAAACTGCATGAACAAAATGAGAAGTAGTTCAACAAATAGAAACCACCAAAAAAAGAAAAAGCACTAAATATATGCTGAAAAAGACAACTGAACTGAAGAATTCAATAGAGTACTGAACTGAAACTGAAGAATTCAAAAGCAGACTTGACCGTACAGATGAAAGAAACAGTGACCTAGAAGACAGGACATTTGAAATTACCCACTCACAGGAACGAACAGAAAATAGGATAAAAAAGTACAAAGTCTGCAGGACTTAGCGGACACAATCAAAAGAAACCATATCTACACTTTAGGAATTTCCAAATGAGAAGAAAAAGAGAAAGGGACAAAAAATGTACTTAAAACAATAATGGCTGCACATTTCCCAAACCTGGGAAGAGAAATGGACGTCCAGATTCATGAGGTCCAAAGAACCTAAGATAGGTTGGACGTGAATTAGGGCTACACTGAGACATTATAACTAAATTGTCAAAAATCAAAGACAAAGAATTTTGAAAGCAGCGAGAAAAAAGAGAAGTTATATAAGGGACCACTGGCAGATCTCTCAACAGAAACTTTTCAGAAACCAGACTGAGATGGTATGTTTGAAGTATTGAAATAAAAAAAAAAACCCCAAAAACTTATCAACCAAAAATTCCGTACCAGGCAAAGCTTAATTCAGAAATTAAGGAGAGAGAAAGACTTCCCTGGACAGCCCTGACTGGTGTGGCTCAGTGGGCTGAGCATCATCCTGTGAACTGAAGGGTCACCAGTTTGATTCCCAGTCAGGGCACCTGCCTGGGTTGTGGGCCAGGTCCCTGGTTGGGGGCATGTAAGAGGCAACCAATCAATGTTTCTCTCCCTCCCTTCCCCTCTCTCTAAAAATAAATACAATTTTTTGAAAAAAGACTCCTCTGAACAAATAAGAGTGCGTGGAGTTCATCACTGCTAGGCCTGCCTTACAAGAAACTTTAAGTGGAAGTAAAAGGATGCTGATTAACATCATAAAAACATAAGAAAGTAATGTAAAATTCACTGGTTATAATAAACATATTGTCAAAATTAAATTTTTAATATAGTAATGTTGATATATAATTTACTTACAACTCTTGTTTAAAAGTTAACAAATGTCAGAAAAGTACCATAACTACAACAATTTGTTATTGAGTACACAATATAAAAATATGTAAGCTATAATATCAATAACTTAAAATTTGAGGAAGGGGGAGAAGTAAAAGTGTAAAGTTTAGGATTGCCTATTAAAGTTAAATTGCTGTCAGTTTAAAATAGGGTGTTATAATTTTAAGATATTTTAGTATGCCCCACCCATGTTAAACACAAGGGAAAAACCTGTCCTAAGTACACAAAAGAACATAAAGAAGCCAAAGCAAACTGATACCAAAAAGCATCAAGTGGCAAAGGACAGCAGGATAGAAAAACAAGGGACAATGCATCTACAAAGCAGCCAAAAAACAATGAACAAAATGGCAGTAAGTCCTCACTGGTCAATTATTACCTTAAACATAAATAGATTAAATTCTCCAACCAAAAGACACAGAATGGCTGACTGGATTTACAAAAAAACAAAACACATATGAGGGGAACCCCCAAAACACCAGATTTACAAAAAATTGTGTATTTACTCTTTTACAAGGTAACTTTAGTCACCTTCACAGTACTCTCCATTTGATGCACTACACCTATCGAGACTTTTCACTGCTCAAAAGTTTTTGAATTCATCGATTTTGATGCCTTTTAGGGCTAGTGCTTCTGCTGTTTTTTGTTTCATCTCTTCCCACATCAGCAAAACATTTTCCTGTACGGGCTTTTTCCATCCAGGGAAACAAAAAGTCACTCAGGGTAAGATCAGGTGAATAGGGAGGTGGCGCATGGGGGACCATGCCATTTTTGGCCAAAAACTGCTGAACACAGTGCGGTGTGGTAGGTGGGCTCGTAAATCACCCATCATGAAATGGGCAGACGTGTTAAGAGTCTTCAAAAAAATTCACAGAAGCCGAATGCGGCCTCTCCAAATAAGTCAGCTGGCGCACTGATACAGATGGGTTCCTAGAACACTCACCTAGTTGGGGAAGCCTGTACCACAAGAAGCCCACCCTCCAGAGGATAATTTTGGTTTTTTGGGGGGTCCTCCCTTCTGGGCTGAAAATGATGAGAAGGAAAAAGATATTTCGAGCAAGTGGTTACTCCTCAAGAAATATGAGGGGTAGCTACACTTACAGCAGATAAAACAGACTTTACCCTTGGTAAAAATTAATCCCTTAGTACATCAAGGGGTTAACCCACCAAGAAGATAACAATTTAAAATATGCACTCCACATCAGAGCATCTAAATATATAAAGCAAAAATTGGCAGTGTTAAAAGAAATAAACAGCAATACAGTAACAGCTGGGGATTTTAATGCTCTAATCTCAACAATGGACAGATCATCCACACATAGAATCAGTGGTTTTGAACAACACTACAGATCAAGTGGACCTGAAAGATACACAGAATATTCTGTCTGACCACAGCAGTAAACACATTTTCAGGCACACATGGAACATTTTCTGGGATATGCCGTATGTTAGGCCACAAAAGTATTACCAACCCAAGAATACTGAAATCTGATATCTCCTCTGACCATAATGGTATGAAACTAGAAATCAATAAAAGGAAATAACATGAAAGTTAAGCAACGGTCTCCTGCACAATCAATGGATCAAAGAAGAAATTAAAGGGAAAATTTAAAAAGTATTCAGACAAAAATGGAAACATA